AGCCGCCTTGCAGCTCACAGTGCGTTTCGGTAGCGTAAGGCTGGGGGAAGTTAATCATTTCCATGTTGATAAGCTTTCGTAGGAGTGCGGTTTTACGAAATCAAGGCTATATTAAGCGATGCATAATGATTATAGATTGTGCTACTTCGATGATTCAATAGTATGTATAATGCGCGGCTTTAGGAAATGATTAATCCCCTCCTTATGTGACTGTATTTTAATCAGATATAAAGCCATGTAAAAAAATCCTTGATCGCTTTCGTTTTCATAAATCGCAATTCAATTGGATCCATCCATATATATGAATGTTTTTGCATGTGAAGGTGCAGATGTGTCAAGTCAATTAATTGGCGATTGGAATCGTTTTCGCGGTTTGTTCTTGGTTGACCTCCCGATGGCACGTTTATTTTCCGTCCCGTCCCCCGCCTGCTTCAGTCCAGTTTCCCTTCTGGTAATTGACTTTCCATCTTTATGACACGGTGAAAATGGAGCCGGGTGCTTGCTATCTCCATAAACTTGGCGCGTTTCGCCTGAATTGGACAGTTTGCCATTGGGCTCCCAATATCCCCGCCCACTGCGCTACCAGTCGTCTGTCTTTGTGGCAAGCGCTTAACATAGGAATTCAATTTCCTGCAAGTGTCTCCATGAAATATCCCTGGCCCCCTGGATTATACCTTTCCACGCGCTAGAATTTTCCATCAAACCACCCGGATTTAGCGAAACCCCTCTGCAGCGGAAATGCTCTTGAAAAATACTCCAAGCAAAAGTTGTTGGCAGTATGTTTCCGTACTGTTTTTTTTTTTGTTTTTTTTTTATATTCACAGCGGTCGAGCTTTTCAGGGGGTGGCAGTGGAAAAGTGGGCAGTGGGCAGTGGGCAGTGGGTGGTGTCCGACGACCACCCACTGGGTTGCCTTCACCTTGACAATGCCACTGTGATGCAATCGCGATGGGGAATTGAGGGCAGTTAGAGGAGGTTGAGACTGAGACTCAGACAGCAAGTAAAATATCTCAACTCTGCTGGAATTTAGTCAGGAATTGAAATTGAAATTGATAGGGACGACATTACACCGGGGCACGTCGATTGAAAACGACGTGAATCGCTGTGCAAGAAGACAATATTACTCTTAAGTAATAAGGGAAAAGGACTTTCGGCAAAGTATCAATTTTCTCTAAAATGAAGCTATTACCACTTGATAAGCCCCCCAAGATGTGCTCCACCAGCGAAAATGAGTGTCACCCTAGAAGAACAACCGCCTTGCTGAAATTATATTTCAATCAATGCCAAGCGCTGTTTATTTGTTGTCCTAGGCAATTCGTTTCAATTTGATGGCGCAAAACATCAATTGAAGTCAACCACATCCTGCCTGCCAGTATGCATGCACGTATATATACGTATATACTATGAGTGTGTATGTGTGGGTGGGTGTGTGTTTGTGTGCCCATTGTCCTTGTTGCGGTCCTGTCACTAATTTGATTTGCTAGTTTGCCCCAGTTGCTCGGTTTCTGCATAGCTCCTTCGGCGCCCCCTCCTTTCAGGAAATTGAAATGAATTATTTGTCATAAGAAAGCGGTAAATCCTTGAGCCTGTCTTTCCCTGCCGCACTTTATACCATTTCTTTTTATATTTTTGTCATTTCTGGGCCAACTCTTTCCACGCTTTGCTGCCTGCCGCCCACTTTACTGCCTGACTTTGCATAAATGTAAACAGATTTCCCTCCAGAGACTTGGCAAACACTTTTGCCAAATTGAAAAGTAAAGCAAACAAGTGTTATATACCTAACCTATGTACGTATGTGATTATATAGCGTAACACCTGACTTAGAATCGGGCAACAGCTCGAAGATAACGAATTGGGGGCTTTTGGAGCTCAAAACATATGTTTGACTATGATTTTCTACTTGACATGTACTTCACTGCTCGAATATTAATTACTGGTATCGAAACAGTTTTCGACTTACTGACAGCTTGCTAATAAACAATATAATCTACTAAATATATATATATATATATATGTATATGTTTCTAAACCTCCGAAACGGCACCACCTTTAATTACTTAATACAATCACGTTGCTAAGTAGATTTTTTATATGAATTTGAGATGGGGTGATCGCAGCTGGAAGGTGAGCTGTCATTTTGATATTCGATGCGAGTCGATTAGATTCGGATTCCTGCACATACATACATTTAAACAGCGTATACATACAGTGGCTATGCAGTGGCTATGCCGTGCGATCATTAAAATTGGCCAATTGATAGTTTCATTTTGGTGTTTATAGCTCGGCGCCTTAATGGGAATCATGCAATCCAAGTTTTGTTTGGACAGCTGCAATCTTTATGCCATGGTGTACGTAAATAAATATATCGTATTTTCCTTTGTTCGATTTGTAGACCTCAATAATTGAAATCTACGCAGAAAGTGTCGTGTTTGTCCAACGCAAATTTCCGTTAAGCGTAAAATTAAACTTTTTTGAACGTTTTCCAAGAAAACTCAAAGCCGAATTTTGCGGATTGAAATCTTGCTTCCCACGCAGATTAATAAAAAGTGTGAGAGAAATGGCTTGAACTGCATAAGCGAGGAATAAATTAACAAAGTGTGGCTTGCACTTCATTATAAACGTCGGTTTAATTAATTACCCCAGCGATTCTTGAGGTTTCTTCATCTTCCACGACCCCCACTTTCCCCATTTTCGACCTCGTACCCCCCTTTTTGCTTGCCTATGCTCTACGTCTCTGAGCGATTAACATAAATCCCTGGCACGTGCTGAGAGTCTCTCCGTTCCGGTTTTATTTGCATTCTAAAAATTGTATGCAAATGCCTGTGTATGAGATGGAGCTCTTTGTTTTGTTACAACTGTAAGGCAGGCGTTGGAATAAATGCGATAAGAATGCCGAAATAAATCAAAACCAGAAGCAGTGCCTAACCCACACATACACCTATGCAGCAGATTCAGTTTCACATTCACATTCAGATACAGATACAGATACAGATACAATTTTATAGATTGTAAGGTGTGAACATTTCTAAGCAATCGCCGTGAGCAAAAATCGGAAATCTGGACTGTGCTGTACACTGGTTTTCTGCTGCTGCTCAGAAAAATGGAAATCCATGCGACTTCAGGGGAAAATTGTCCAGAGAGCGAGTGCGAAACTAACTGGCAGCTAAATAAAAAGCAAAGAAAATGGAAATGGAAATGGACATGGATAACTGACAGTCTGAGGTCATTCTGCCAATTATAATGCAACGAAGGACTGCCGACGATGATGAAGTCGAAGGCATCAAGGGAAAGGCAGCAAGTACAGATGATGATAATGGAAATAGAAGTGGAAAAGGCGAATTGGATTTCAGGCTATTCCCAACTTATGACACTCGAGCTTCTATCCCTCGAACTTCCTCAAGTGCAAATGGATCATTTACAACACGATTTCATATTCAACAAAGGTTGTTCATAATACGTTGATAACCCCAGTGTATCATTGCATTCACTGCAGAATCGCAAAAGGTTGAAAACGATGTGCAGATTGATGGTGAGCTGGGGAATGATGATGATGGCTGCATTAGGGATAAGTTTATCCATTAGAATTCAACAGCAATCCGGTAAAAGAGAGCCGGAAGGCGAAGAGCACCGTAATGCAGTGAGAAATGCCGGAAGAAAGTAATACATTCACCTTAAGTAACCCGTTACAAGGAGCTCGTAAACCGAAACCACCGCCAGAAAGTTCCGCACATCATTGCAAATGCATCAGAGGTCGTGGAGAGGAAAGGCGGACGGAAAAGCTGGAGGGAGGACGGAGAGAGACGGAAATGGAAATGGGCTAAAGGACACGTGTATATCGCCCTTGCAACTTTGCAACATTCATGGCTCTGTGGTTGACTTAACCCCTTGAGCACCTGCGTCAAAACTGTGGCATTTGCAAAGGGAAACGGGCAAACAGTAACAGATTTTTATTGCGAAAGTTAAAACGCAGAAAAAACGCCATCTGAATATATATGAGCACATTTCAAGTTTGGAAATGTCGGGCTATAAAATATAATAGTTTATATTGATAATAGTTTCCACCGAGTGCGTAGAGGTTTCCCTCTTGTTTTAAATTAAAAATTCCTTGTTTTCTGAACTCTAAACAGGGTCAAGAACGGGTTAAGGTTCAGCTCACATTGCGTTTGGGTTCGGTTCATTTTGATTCCGATGCGGGTCGAGTTCTTTGGGGTGGCATATAAGAACAGGTCGAGTCGGTCGAGTTTGGGATTTCAAAGGGGGAAAACTGGACTGCTTACAGCCGACAAACAGTTCCGGTTCAGTAGACTCTAAAGTGATTGCGGCGACACAACGGGCGAGCTACGTTGGATAACCGTAGCCTGGGGCGCCTCTCCTGGCATTGTGGGATTCAGGCATTCTGGACTCCTGGTGTTCCGTGGTGCTCCCGCTGGCCATCCAACCACCTGGCTGGCGACCACCACTGGCTCAACATTGGTCAACATTGTGGTTAGTTGGATTTTGGCCTAGTTCACGGAAAAGCAAGCAACCACCTCCCCCGAATTTGGCTGATTACGAAGCCATCAAATTTGTCCACACAGTCCTTCGGTTGTGGCATTAATCCAACTCCCAGATCGGAGGCAGTATCGTTATGAAAGAAATGCCATGGAGGCAACCGAGTGTTTTTGAACCACTTTTAATTAGCCAGCTGCATGTGTGTATGCACTACTTTTGAAACCAGTTTGGTGAGCGGTTTTAATTAGGGTTGAAACTAGACGAGCACACTAATCATCTGGTAGCCGACCCACTTAAAGGCAATTGGACGGTCCAGATAAGGGTTAGCATGTAGGCCTAGTTAAAAATGCAGTGTGGCTCAAAGGCTTTTAAAGATGGTCAATTATTAATGATTGGCTCATACACTTACGGCAATATAAGCTGAACTTAAAATGACAATGTTGTGCTTGTAATACTTGTAAATTATATTTGCAGTACTAATAAACACTCTTTCCCTTCTGTTTTTTGCAGCTGCCAGTACTACGTGAAGAGCCATCCATGGGTGCTGGCGTACCAGGGCGTAATCACATTCTTCGTGCTGGCCAACTTTACGCTGGCCACGTTCATGGACCCGGGCATCATCCCCAAAGGTATGTAGCGTGCTGAGCAGGGGACAAAGCCAGTCGTCACGGCCTAAACTTGACTGCATTCTAGCCTCTCCCGACGAAGACTGCGAGGAGGAGTTGCGCGCCCCGCTCTACAAGAATGCGGAGATCAACGGCATCACCGTCAAGATGAAGTGGTGCGTCACCTGTAAGTTCTACCGCCCGCCGCGCTGTTCCCACTGCTCCGTCTGCAATCACTGCATAGAGGTGAGTCTATCCCACTAAAATCTATAGCACACCTTAAACTCAACTTAACCATCGTCTTTTCAGACCTTCGATCATCACTGTCCGTGGGTGAACAACTGCATCGGCAGGCGGAACTACAGATTCTTTTTCTTCTTCCTCGTATCGCTGTCCATTCACATGCTGAGCATCTTCTCGCTGTGCCTGGTCTATGTGCTGAAGATCATGCCCAACATCAAGGACACGGCGCCCATCGTAGCGTATCCTTTTGCCAAAACACAAAACCAGTCCCGACACTTGTTCCACCATAACACTCATATAACACTCAGGCATTTATTTCCCAAACTAAAAGTACTAACTTACTGCTTATCCAGAAGTGGAAATGCAGGAAATAAACTAGTTGTGTAGAATATGTTCCTTAAGGGACCAGTAGGCACCTCTCTATACCTCCATTTGGCTTGCCTTAACCCTCTACCCGTATATAGCATTTTCCTGATGGGCCTGGTGACCATTCTGGCCATCCCCATCTTCGGACTGACCGGCTTCCACATGGTTCTGGTGTCGCGGGGTCGGACAACCAACGAGCAGGTGACCGGAAAGTTCAAGGGCGGCTACAATCCGTTCTCGCGCGGCTGCTGGCACAACTGCTGCTACACACAGTTTGGTCCTCAGTATCCCAGGTGAGTTCGCAGCCCATCACAGGCAGGTCGCACTGTACCGCTCTTAGCACTCGTGGCGTGCGGAAATTACGATAATAAATAACCAAATTGAACTGCCAATTGTGGACTTCAAATTGCATGCGCCCCGGGGGTTGCAATTCGACCCAAATTGAAATGATAGTATTGTAGACTGTGAACCTTCGAGCTTAATAGCCAATTATCTCGACATCTCGTTACACCTGGGGGTATGTTTAAATACGATATTAAAGAGTATTGTGTGTCATTAAGAAGCTTTTGATATAGCATATACAATAGTGTTCCCATTGATGCAGCTATTATTCCCTAAACTATACTTATTTCCAAACCGCTTATCCCCATCTTGCAGCCTGCTGAACCCGAAGAAGTACGCCTCGCGGCGATCTCAGGTGCAGAACCAGGCGATCAGCACCATTTGCAACGACCGGAGCGGCCAGCAGACGGGCGCCGGGGGCGGGGCCGGCGGCAATGGTACCGCCGCGGTGTCCGGCGGAGGCGGTGGAGCGGGCGGCGGGGGCGGTATGCGCGGCACTGCGGTGCAGTACTCACCACGCTCCTTCTACGACGCGAGTCGCGAGAAGCGGGGAATTCAGGTAAAGACTTATATGGCCGAGGGCAATGGTTATAATCAACGGTCGGGCAGCACAACGCTTTACAGTAAGGTGGGTAAACAACAAGATTTTGCAATATCACCGAGAAAAGCGAAGCAGTTGCTATGCGAAACTCAGATTCCTATTCCATATATCTATGTATCCTATATCTATTGTATCTAATGTGCCCCTAATAGTGCGCCTCAGGTGGAGGAACAGCAATCCCTCTGCTCAGCTAGTTTCCAAGTCAAATGTAAATCATAGTGTAATGCCAAGTGAAATCCAGCATATATAGTGATAATATTTAATGTATTGGCCAAAGGTTTCCTAAATACCTAGATGCTAGATTCCATTTAGTTTTGCAATAGAAGCTAATGATTATTTTCCTTGAGCGATTGCTGAATCCACCTGTTGCTGTTGTTGTTGTTATTGTTGTTGTTTCGCTTAGTTAATGTTGTAATCGTAATTTGTGTTTACTTAACTGTAATTGTAACCGTTAACCGTTGTTTGTTTATGTTTTTGATTTTGATTTTGTTTTCATTTCCCATCTCGCTTCAATGTAAACAATTTTCCATTTGATTTTCCTGACCTCTTACTTTTCGGTTCCTCTGGTTTCTGTTTCCACATTTTTCCTTTGCTCATTTCGTTGATTTATCATTTGCTGTAATCCCCTAATAACCCCTAGCCCCGCCCACCCCAAAAACGCCCCCGTCACCCGCTTAATGCTTTGACTAATTAACTACAAAATCGATATAAATATAAACATACATATGTATGCCTCCCATCTACACATATGTATATCTATACATATATATGTATGTTGAGATCTTTATATAGCGGAGAAATCTGTGAAGTATCTTTGTGTTGTTGTTCTTGTTGTTTTCATCCGTTCTCTGCGTGGGCGAATAAAAGTTTTTCCGCTTTTCCCAGCTGCTCCACAGCACATCCTTCAATCCCATTTCCCACACGCTTCTCCTCTGCACTGCAAAACTTTTTGGCTGCCGCTTCAACATCTTCTTCTCCCTCGGCTGCATTTACTATCATTATTTTCCCGCTTTTCCTGGCAAAAGAACAAAAAAAGAATAAGAAAATGAAATGAAACAACAAGACGGAATGTTAGTAAGTTAGTTAGTTAGTGCCACGCCCGTTTAATTGAAGGACAAGCAAACCAAATGATGCACAACCATTTAGGGAAAGCAACGCCACCCACTCAAAACTTTTCCATTTCCCCCCCTTTTCGTCACCCCTCCATCGTAATTGCCTTCCACTGTCCTTGACATCTCATAAAAAATACAGTGAAAGCCCCGGCAGACGAACACTCGCGTAGCAGGGGAAAATGTATCTGTGTCACTGTATATAATTGTGTGCCCATAAATAGATTTGAACACCTTTCCTTGATAAGCTTTTAGAGAGCCCAACTAAAGTGTGTGTTTTATTGCTTTATAAGAATTTGTTATTTAAAGTTATTTAAATATTGGATTGTGCTTCAAGTCCGTCCGTAAGATTTTAAGCCTATTTTAAATAATCAATAATTGCGAAACCAAAAGGATGATCAAACACGCACTCCCTGCGTCCTTTTGGTTATTCTAGAAGTTGGGCAAAGACCAATTAAAAATAACTTCGTTGCAGATTAAGTTTTCAGAAGAGAATCAACTGAGAAAAGTGGAGGGTTTAATAATTTTCCATCTAAAATCAGAGACTTCGGACTCACCGGAGCGGTTTGTATGTCACCACTTCTGTCTCTCCTAGTTTTCCCCCACCTTAGTTTCCCCCTTTCTGGAATTTTCTGGAATTATCTCCGCATTAACCCCACTTTGCATGCATACGGCTGGATTTCCTTAGTTGGCGTTTTGAGTTGCTGAATTTTCCGCTATGAATTGCGCTGCATTTCCCACTATTATTGCTATTTAGTTGACTCGTTTTTCACTTTGCTGGGCACCTTAACCCCGTTCGTTTTCCGTTTGTATATGCCGCCCAGAGCTGTCGTTATATCAGTATATATATATAGCAGTATATAGCATACATACTTATATCGAAAAGAATTGGTCGCATCTCCAAATAAACCAGCAAAAGCAAAAGAAAACAAAACCAAAAAACTACACTTACTGCAAGCACCGAGAAAGGTAAAAGACTTTAAAAACGATATTAAAAACTCAACAAAAAAATTGAATTCTTTTTTTACGAATCCATTATTTACCGATTGATATTGACTTGCCCTGGAAAATCATTGATTTTAATTTATTGTCCCATTATTATAATTTCCTCTCTGGTTTTCCACCCATACTCCGTACTATTTTCTTCATCTGTCCAGTTTTCCCTTTCTCTCCACCTGTCTGCCACACAAAAAACCAATTCGAATGATTACAAATTATGGAAAAAATATATTATATTAGTATTTTTGCACAGATAAATTTGCCATTTCAGTAAGCATTTATTTAATTTTGCATATTTAAACAGTAAATCCGTTTTAATTATCAGGATAATAGTCTTCAACTGAAACTCCAATTCGTCGATAAGAAACTTTCTCTTTCGTTTTGAAAAATTGATGTCGTTACGCAGTGCTTTCACCAGTTTTCCTCTCCTTAATCTCTGACTTTTCCACACTTTTTCCTGCCGTCTCCAGATTGTGAAGTTAATTATGCTGCGGAAAGTATTTCCACTTTGGGCTTTCCACTTAGGCCACAGTATGCGTTTAACTACACTAAGTTATAGCAGGGGGCGAGGGGCCAGAAGGAGGAGGCACACCACCCACTCCACTCCACCTCACCCCACGGTCCACGTTCCTCCTTCCTCCTTCCTCGAACCAAACAAATTACGAAACCTTCTCAGTTCCATGGTTTTGATTCATTTCATGTACTTTTTATTGGTTTCGATATCCGTAACGGTTTTCATTTTCACAGGATTTATTACTATTTCGAATTTAATAATACTCTTTAAAATAATCATTCCCAAAAGAACACAGTTCTGTGTGCATCTGTTAAATCTATTAAATGTGACTATGCGTGTTTAAATCCTACAGTTCGTTAAACTTTTCTTAATCGAAACCCAATTGAAATGTGTGAAAATGAAACTTTAACCAGTCCAGTTTTTCTCTACTTTCCATTGTTCAGTGTTTCCATTATATACCTATATATTATTATTATTATAATTTTTTTTTTTTTTTTTATTTTGGAAATGATCGCAACTAAATGTAGGCCTAAGTCTGTGTCGATCTCATCTGTTTTTCGCCTGTTCTCCAAAGCCTTTCTAGTCCAAAACTAATCCTCTGATCTACGACATCGCAGCTTTCGCCCGGACGAGAGTGCTCCGACACCGACCTGGAGCCGCCGCCCGCCTCCCAGAGCCAGGACTGCGAACCGACGCCTCCGCTGCAGCGGCACAACTCCAGCAGCTTCTATCTGCCGCAGGTGAGCGACGCCGGCGGTCTGAACGGCAGCGTTTCCACGGGCGGCGGAGGAGGAGGCGGCGGCGGGGACTCGCCGCGCCACATGCGTCTCTACCATCCGCGTCACAGTCCGCACGCGAGACCCAGGTGAGCTAATTAGCCATAGCCATTAGAAGGAGTTTGCACTGCAAGAAAAGAAGCTAGCTTCGCAGCTGGAAGAGTCTTTATTAGGCATTTGAACTCAAAGCAAATTGACAAGGTTTTGTACTTATCGTACTACTCAATATCTCTGTAGCTTCATAATGAAGTGAATTTTGTTGTCGGTGCATTTCCGATTGGCGTAGTTGATGGTGCACTCATTACATGCACCCCACACCCAAAAGTAAATGAATGCTCCCCAACAAGGTGGACTAAATATAAATATGCTTGTGCTTGTTTTGGAAATAATCACTAGTGGCTGTCAATGTTCAAGTAGCCATGGGAAACGAAATACAGATATACACACTTAAACCATGGAAATATGTTGCGTATACGACTCGTTGCACTGAACTATTTGCTTGCAACTATTTCACTCAACACAAACGTTACTGCATAACGAAAACGGGTAATTGTGTGTGGGGCATACTCGCAGGTTATGCACTTAATGCCAAGATTGGATTATATCCCTCTCGTTTCGAGCTTGCATTACATAGTTTTCCCAAATTTGCAAAGCCACTCGATGCATCCAGCACATGTGCACAGAGCCAAGGATGCTGACCACCTAATCTCGTCTGTATCCGCAGGGGTCTGGATCCGCAGCGGGGCTACACTAGCGACGCCCTGTCGCCGGACCATCCCGTTGGCTATGGCGTCGGCGTGAATGGACCGCAGCAGCAACAACAGCAGGCGCTGGCGGCGGCAGCGGCGGCGGCGGCGGTGGCAGCACAAAATCAACGCAGCGCGACGACCACGGCCACGCCCACAATGCAGCAGCGGATCAAGCCGCTGGGCGTGGCCACGCCCCTCGTGATGGCGAGTCCAGTGCGAAGGTGAGTGTGCGCCTCCAGATCCAATTATGCGCCATATGTTTTCATGGTCCCCGATTCCCACCCACCGAGTTGAACCCCCGCCCCGCCCCCCGCTGTTGTTGTTGTTGTTGTTGTCTGTTATTCGCTGTTATTCGTGCTTTTATAGCTTAACCCCTTCTCAGCCAACTGGCCATTTAAAGCTCAAGCTCAGTTGGAAATTCCAAAAGTTAAAAAATACTTTGTTTTAAATACCACTAGCTTACTTAATTGATTGCTCTTTAGTTTTTCGCCAAAAGAATACCTTACATTTTACTTTTTCCTGCTTTAAAATGTTCAGTATTATATTTAACAGTATATTCTAGATTCTTAAATCTTAGAATGTTATTACAAAGTTATTTTTATTCGATGCTAGTTAGTAATGTACATCTTAAGTATTTTATAGGGTTAAGCTATTCGTGTGTGAGCAAGTTCTCGTGTAGGTGTAGTAGTGTGTGTTTAGTTTAAACGCTTCTGATAAGCCGATGCCTCAAGGTTTAGCTTTACCGTTAGTTTGTTTATTTGCTTTATAAGCTTTCCGCCTATGCAGGTTTCTTGTAGGCGTGTCAGTCCAAACAACTCATTACAAAATTAAAAACTAAGTATGTACATATATGTATGTAGCTATTTGCTGGGAATAATATCTGTAAACTAGGATAATTCCCTCTGGCGCCTTCCCTTTCGCACTCTTATGAGTAGAAAGAAACGAGATGGATATAGAGGGCGAAAAAGAAAGAGATGCCCTGTGGGTCAATAACCCCCTCTATATCTATGTTTATATCTGTTGCACCTATGCGTACCGCTCATCAAATTGGTTATTTACCACTCATTTCGCAGCCGGCTCCTTTTTACTCCCATCTTATGAACTAATTAATTATTTTTTCCCACTTTTTCCTTTTCTTTTTTCTCGTGATCTATTGATTTGGTCGATGTAGTCAATACTCAAATTCTGAGAACAGTACTAATTCCTAGGCTTAGCTTAAAGAAAAAAACCAAAACAAAGAAGTCCAACAAGAAACAACCGAAAGAACCCAAGAAATAAAAATAATACCTAAAAATACGAATACCCTATAAGTTTATTAAAAGAGAGAGAATAAATAATAAAAGAAAAGAAAAACAAAACAATACTAAATAAGCAAAGAGGTCTGTAAGTTAAGCCTGAAAAAGGATCAAATGATATCGAAATACAGAGGGGAACAAGAGAAAAGTTAACTGAACCGGAAATTGAACCAAAAACCGAACCGTTCTAAGCCGTTGTGAACCGTTTTGCACATCTGAGATAAAACCACTTTGTCGTCGTCCTTTCTTTCTTCCGCTCGTTCTTCGCTCTTCTTTCAACCTTCACCCGAACCACTGATCCACTGGCAACCACTTGAACCACTCGAACCACTCGCGAACCACTCTGCAAGTGCACCCTGTAATCCGATCAGATCCGATCCGATAAATCGTTATCCGTAGACCTACTTCTACTAAGCACCTACTTCTACTTTCTTTCTGCCGCGCGAGGTGAGTTTTACTTTCTTTTTTTCGTTTCGTTTCTTTCGTTCCGTTCCGTTTTCGCTTTCATACTTTCGTTTCCGTTTCCGTTCATTATGGTTGCCGTTTTCGTTTGCGTCCGCCTTTAACCCTCTCTCACCCCCTCATATTCGCATTTAACCCTCGGTTCCGGTATTCTTATTCCACCTGACTACATTCTTCGACATTTTCCCCTGTTTTTTGTGGCTTTCGTCTAAGTACTCCTTTCGATTGAAGTATGGATATCTTCTGCGGTCTATGGTCTACTTATCGTTTAAGTAACTCGTAACTAATTTTCTGATCTGTCTTTAACTTTCAATTCATAATGGGCATGAAAGTAATTGCGGAAATATTTATCAGAGAGCAAGATGTAGATATTCGACTGAAAGGCATATTTAATCGTAGGCTTAACCTATCCAAGTGACCTTTGAATTGAAAGTTGTCAAAAATAAGCTCTATACACAAGGTATTGTACACTTAGGTCGGAAATCGGAATCTAGCTCTCTGAAAAACATTCGATATTGGAGCGAATTCCAGAAAAATTTGTAGTATACCTTTTCTTCTTTTTCGGCACTCGGCTCTCTAATTGTCTTCCTCTAAGTTCCAAAAAGTAAGGTAAACTCATGAGTTCGAATCAAATATAAATCAGAAGAAATTTATTGTAATCTGGGAAGTCTGAAGAAAATTAGGCAGATACCAAAAACGTCTAGGGGAATCGAGAGCCATCCAAAAATTCATAGAGTTGATAGAAGATTGCGGAGCGAAGCCACTATGAACATGGCACAGCGTCAGGACTCTAACCACCGAAGATCCCTGAATCTGCTGGACAAAACGCTGCCCATTTCGGTGGCCACCGCACCACAGTTGCGATCTCGACGCCAATTCAGTTTCAATGGCCTGCAGTACGAGATGAATGGACTGCTACCATTGCCGCCACCGCCGCCCGCGCCGCAGGTGCAGCTCTCGAGGCTCAGGGCAGGTGGAGGAGGAGGTGGTGGCTCCCAGGAGAAGAAGCCTGGTGGCCACTCCAGCCACTCGCTGAATGCCAAATCCATCGTTGAGTCAGCCGGCGGAGATGGTGGCACATCGCGGCCGAATCGAAGCGGAGTCTTGCCCAAGCATGTGAGTTTGGGTGACAGAGCCCTGCTGATGAACGGTGGGGTGCGCATGCCCAGGAGAAGCGAGGTGGACTTCCCGCAGACAAAAGCCGCAGCGAAAAGGTCATCCTCCCAGTTTTCCATCCAAGTCGAAGGGCACGACAAGAAGGTGGAGCGGAAGGACGCTACAGGACTAGTGCAGGATCGAGAAGCCCTCAGGTGGGAGAAGAAGCATCGTCGCAGGCAGCATTCGATGGAATTGAGTGAGAGGACGTCATCCCCGGATCAGTGTGACCTGACCTCTCAGCAGAGCTGGATGTTGGCCCAGACCCTGCTTAAGGCCTATGGAAGCGGACTGGCTCAAACGTCCACCAGGGATGGAGCGTCCTCCAAGATGGACTACATCACTCTGACCGGATTGGTACTCGGCTGCGTGGCCTCCCAAGCCCTCTTCTTCCTGTGCTGGTACTTCAGCTGGCTGAAGAACCAGGCGATTGGACTACGTAAACGCTTTCTGGGCAACGCCAATCTGTGGGAGTTCTTCGACTTGGAGGACACCACCCGGTACTCAGTGCAGACCAAACTGATCTTGGCGCCGCTGATCCTCATCTGCAGTCTGCTCTACTGTGTGGTCAATCTGCTGCACCTGGTGGTGCAGGTGGTGCGATCGGATGTGCCGCGCACAGTGGTTGTGTTTGTCCAGCGGGTGGCAAACAGTGGGCTCCTGGGCACCATCACCATGGGACTGGCCGGTGCCGGAGGCGGAGGCAGTGCAGCCAAGCGGGGACGCCATAATCAAGCGCTGCGATAATTCTAGTCACCGGTGCGCCGAAGATTCTTCGCCTATCCACCGCACTAGTTAACCTGGTGGCTTCTCAATTAAAGTACAATCTTGCTTCAACAAATTTCATTTATTAAAACAGTAGTGTTTGATATACTTACACCCCATTGGATTGTAGGGCACTAAAAAGCATATGGACTTAACTGGAACAGGCTGCAAACATTTCTGTGTGCCAATAACTAAACGACCTTAACACCAAGCTGTTGTTTTAATCCCTGTTTAAGGCCATTATGTCACCCACATCAGATCGGATCAGCACACCCACTATATATCTGTTCCACGATCATCGATCGCTAACATCGATCGTTTTCCTAACCGTCAGTTAACCGAGAAGTTAAGTTTTAACATCCAGACGTTAACTCTGCAGCAGCTTTTGTGCTCGCGCTCTCAGCATGCTTTACTACCACTAAGTTTGTTTCAAAGTAACTAGCCAGTGCTGGACTAATTTTCGGATTTCGTGTGTCCCCCCACAGATCTAACCCGGGCACGCCCACCCAACCGCGACGCCCCGATTTCATCGGACTAAACGCACAGGCAGTGGCGCAGCAGCAGCAGCAGCAACAGCAGGCTGCTGCGGCGGCAGCAGCAGCGGCCTATTACGAGTACACCACCGGCCTGCCGCCGCAACACCCGCAGGCGCCCAGCATCCAGCAGCAGCAGCAACAACTGCTCCTGCAGCAGCAGCGTGTCCTCATGCAGCACCAGCAGCAGCAGCAAGGTGAGTGGTAGCAGCAGCTTTATTTCGAGTGCCAACTGAAATCCATATGCATCCACAGCTCTGCAGCAGCAGCAACAGGCGGCGGTACATGCGGCACATCCGCAACACGCCGCTCTGGCGCAGGCAGCGTACGGGGGCAGTCCACAGAGGCGCTTCCTCTCCGAGGGCGAACTGGTGCGCCAGGGCGCCGGAGGTGGCGTTGCCGGCGGAGAGTTGTCCTACGCGAGGTCCAACAATACGGTGGATAACATACGGGAGCTGGCCGGCAGTCCGCAGCGTGGCGTTTACATGTGGAAGGATACGTCGCCGGGATTCACTAGCAACGCCGGACAGCAGCAGCAGCAGCAGGCACAACAGGTGGTCAGCAGCGGGATTGGCAGCAGTGCGGGCACGCTGTCCAGCAGCGGTGCCGCCGCCGGAGTGATGCCGCATGCCCAGTACATAACGGCGGGCGGAGGAGCCCATCCGCTGATAATGACGCACTCTCGACTCCAGGACTACACCATCCAGCAGCAACAGCAACAACAGGCGGCGGCGGCTGCGGCAGCAGCAGCAGCAGCTGCAGCCTCATATCATCGCTCCAATCCGACGAGTCCCACCACCATGCCACAGGTGTCCGGCGCTGGCCAGAGCTATATACTGCGCTACGGAGGCGGAGGAGCGGCTGGCGCAGCCGGCAGCAGTGGCAGCTTGGCCAGCGTGACGGCCAGTAATCCCGCCACTGGGGGCGGTGGCTATCAGCCGGCATTGCGCGGCGGAGTGGCCGTATTCCCGCCCAATCCGCTGGGAAATCAGGGAGGCGGCAATCTGCAGACGCAGCCCTCGCCACAAATCAAGCGGAAGCAGACGCCCACGCGGCCCATGAGCTTTGTGCGAGCGCTGGAGATGGCCGACTCCATGGAGATGCAGTCACTGGAACAGCAGCAAAACGGCGGAATTCCCGGCAGCGGGGCGGTGGGAAACAATCAGCAGGCGGGCGGCGGTGGCGCTGCTGGTCACCTAATGCAGAACAACGCCTCCAATTCGGGCACTCCGGATAGAGCCAGCATCTACGACATGAACTACGAGATCTCCGTATAACCCGTGGTGGTGCCCGTGCTCCTGATGCCACCCGCCAGCCAAGCTCCGGGGACAGCAGTCGCTGCTCCAGCTGCTGCAGTTGCTCCAGTTGCCATCGCCGGTCCACAGCCACAGGGGCACTTTTACAATGCCCAACTGGAGCCGGCTGCCTATGCCTGTGTTCCTGTCTTGCCCCTGAAACCGATAAGCAATGGAGTAGGAGCCAATAGTCATCAGCACCACCATCATTATCACCAGCAGCAGCAGCAGCAGCAGCAGCAGCAGCTGCAGCAGCAGCAGCAGTATCAGCAGCCGCAGCATCACCAACATCCGCACCAGAACATCCACAACCACAACCAGATTCAGAACCAGAACCAGAACAAACGCAAATTTTCAACCTTCTTTTAGGAAAGGCAACTAGCCCGTGTCTTTTTTACCGAATGATTTGAACGTTGAGCATGTAAGGGTGTATCTATCTAACCAGAGCTATTTACACCAGATGTGTGTGTATATAAGTTGCGCTGCAGTTGTAGCAGCTAAGCTAAATTTTAAGTAATTTTATTATGTAATTTTTACGCTTTGTTATTATGATTTTAATTTTTGAATGCACTTTGGAAAACGTTTTACACGATCGGATATCGAAAGAAATTATTTATGCGTTAAATGCTTTCTATATATGATCGATAACGAGAAAATAGAGTGGAGATAGAGTTGAGAATATGAGATAAATTAAAAACGAGCATGTGGATACAGATACAGTGCGTTTCATGGGTGCAGGAATAGTAATTGGCGAAAGAAAGCTGCGCAGAAATTCCCCGAGCTAATGCCACGCACTGTATTCACCCTGCCGATCTGCTATATCTATTATACATATAGTACACACATATATGGAAACCTTTTGCAATCAACATGAAATCGCCAAAATTTGTACGTGTTTGTGTGCGTGTGGCTGTCTGTGTGCGTCTGTAATGTGTGTGTTTAACATTAGTCTTTATAAATTTATATCTATTTATGCCATATATTGTATATAGGATATGCTACGTCAGGGCCCAGGTGCAGAGAACTTTGTCATTTGTGTACATAGGTGAAGAAGGTGGAGGGAGACGGAGGAGGAAGCGATTTGTGCTAAGTATCCAGAGATTATATAATGCGTTGGCGAATTTAGATAGTGTCCAGTCCACGACAGTCCTCCAGGATCTGGACGGCATGTCATATGTCTTTGCTGCGGGTTGTACGGAGCAACTCCTAATCCATCATTATCTGTAAATAGAGGCCCGTTTTGTAAGAACTACCTCCCTCCTCTCCATTCCGCAGTCCAGTGAAGCGAAGGGTTACGTCGCCGCCCAGTACAGTGCGTTGCGAGGCTGTATGTGCTTGTTGCAATCCCAGCCTCTTCATGCCCCTTCAGCAACCTAAGGTTTCATTCGAAGTCATTCAACCCACATAGTTTCGTGCTCAGGAAATGACATTAGAACGAAATGGCATTTTCACGTTCACATCTCTTCGCCTACAGCCCCGAAACGCACTGTACCCGGCTCGTCAACTACTCCCAGACGAGATTTAATGGTTTTTCCCTTTTTTCCCCCTCATTTACTTAGAATTCGTAAGAGAGCCCTAATCTGGAACCGCGATTTTCGGTCCGTGTAACTTGAATGTCGTCCACTTTAAATCAGTTTTAACTTTCCTGTACATAAGTGTAAGAACGCATGCGAATTCTTCGGTTCGAGACTACCAACTGCGTGTGTGGGTAGGCCTGCTTGCCTCTATAGGCCCAACTTTGTTGTTATGTTTTTAAGTGAACTTAGCTTTTATACTACCGAACCCCGTTGCCCCTTTTCAAGTGTGTTCGCCAAGTGTGTGTGTTCTTGGATCAATGCGATGGCATGTTTGGCTCGATTGTTTTATTCCTCATTAATGCAAATGGCAAATTTCAAGCGATAATATCTGTAAGGAAGTTAGCTATATATACACGACACTCGCGCGATCTATCGAACGACAGAGATACAGAGAGAGAGAATTATACATGTGTAAGGCGATCAATCCCCAATCCGAATCCGACCCTCTTCCCTGGCCACATAGATCATGAGAATTGTGCAAGGATCAAACTTGTATAGACTATGCAGTAAGGTGCGCGACGTAAGTGTCTGGAGCAGGCAGTTCCTTCCGTTTTTTATTAGAACTTCAATCTATCGAATATGAATATGAACTTCCAGTTGCAAGGATTTTGGTGGCTAACTTACATATACTTACATATATGGCTGTTCCCGTCACGAATTTCGCACACCTTATTTAACGGATCAAGAGTATATATTATACACACGTATATTTAAGCGTTTTTTTGCTAACACATTAATTCATGAATTTGCAACAATATTTAATATAAATACAGAAATGCATATACAAACAAAAAAAAAACAAAAGAAGAAAAATCATTAAAAACAAATTGTGTAATGTAAAACGTAATGTGAACGAGAATGGAATGAAATTGTTTTAGATTTTTATACCAAATTTAATTAATGTAAAACCACGAATTGTTTATTTTTTGTATACCCGCTCCCGTAATCCCCGTCAGAATGCGAGTAATCCCTGCCAGAGAAATCCTCGAGTTCTAAATTGTTTTTTTTTTTTTTTTTGTATTGAATACTTATGTAATTTGTAAATTATATGACAAGTAATCAAATAGCAAGCATAAACAGCAAGGCAATTAATAAACAATACATATAAAAATGCAAAACCAAATCGCTTATCTTGTACACTTCTTTCCAAAACCCCAAAATATAGATGTCCATGGAGTAAATGGAAACGATTTGTTGGACAAAAATATAGATTTATTATAGACTCAATTTGGGCTTAACTACAATTGGAATTATCAACACTGTGTTCAACATAAACCTAATCCTAGAAATTGCACTAAAGCAGCGAGGAGGTGAAGATCTGCTGCAGAATGTGAGGTAGCTTGGTGAGGTCCATGCACACAAAGCTCTGACCAGCCGGCATTTCCGCATTGATTCTGGAAAAGATGAAAAGTGTAAGGACGGTTACAAAGGCTAGAATATAGGAGTGCTCCTTGCACTTTAAAGCTATGGAGTGTACTCCGAGTCATACTTACTCATCCGCCTCCTCGGCCAGACTGCCAATGAAGATGGCATAGCCCTTGACCTTCGGCTCGCCCCGTTTGAGGGCCACAGCCAGATCCTTGGGAGCGATGCCGTAGCGCTGCAGATTGGCATCGCTGAGAACCACGACGATGGCGTTGTCGTAGTCCTGCTCCGCGCCCAGCGTGGAACAGGCCTCCCGCGCCGCCTTCACCGTGGAGTCGCCGGACCAGCAGAACTGTGAATGGGCGTGCATCATCCGAATGGCCTCAAATCGCTCCTTATCGTTCTTCGGCGGGCTGCCCGCGGTCACGAACGGAATCTCCCAGCCCTCGCCGCTGTGGCCGATTATGTCGTAGACGATCTTCTTCTCGAAGCCCTCAAAGGCCTCCATCACCATGACCACGGCCTCCAGCTGACGGTCCAGCCGTCCATCGTAACCATTGAACCTGGAAGATGAGCAATTAAATGGGTATGCCAGGGATATCGCTATCAAACTTACCTGTACATCGAGCCCGACACATCCACGACCAGCTTGAGTCGGTTGGGCTTCTCCTGGACATGATCCGCCCAGGGATTGGCCTCCGCCCGTCGCCTATAGATGTTCTTCTCGCCGGTGATGCCCTCCACCAGCCGTGTGTCATCCAGATCACCGTGGGTCTGGTACTTCTGCCACTGGCGCTCCTTGCTCTTCGTTTGCATGGCCTCCAGGACGGCCTTCAGCTGCTGCACCTGCTTGCGGTTTGGTTCGCTGAACTGGGCATACAGCTTGTGGTCGTGGGCGGACATCTTGATCTCCTTCAGCTTGTCCTCGAATGCCTTGCGATTCATTTCGCGTGCTGCCCGCTTGATCTCCTCGGGCACATCGGCCTTCTCCTCGTCGCTCAGCTGATGGACCTTGTGACCCTTGTCCAGGCGGAACGGGCCACCCTTGCCGCCCAGTCCGGCGGTGTCACGACCACCACTGCCACCAGCCCACGTGTTGCCGCCGACATGCGGCTCGTTCTTGGGATCCAACTTGCCGAACTTTGGGCCGGAAACGCCCAGTCCACTGTGCCGATTCACGGATGCCTGCAGAATCTTCTGCTTCCTTATGGCCTGGATCTCTTCCTCGGCGTAGGATTCGATGCCGTGCTTGGCCAGCACTTGGGTGACCTGCTGCAGTGCCTCTGGTTGATAGCGATCGAAGTCCAGCACATTGCCCACCACCTCGGACATGTTCTCCTCCGGATAGCGTTCCAGATGCTTTACAATGCTCACCACTTCTCTGGTGGAGTATGGATAGTTGAGCATTCCCTCGTCAGCGAGAGTTCGCAGTTCACCGAAGGCATTGACCAGGGTGCGTAGCGTTTTGATGGGTACCTTCGGTCCATACTGTTGCAGTAGGAAGATCTCGGAATCCGGATCCGGATTGCTGATGGCGTGGCAGCTGAAGACATCGCCCAGGGCGGCAAAGAAGTCGTTACCCAAGAAGGGGAAACCCGGACGATTGGCTAGGACTATTAGCCGGAAATCGGGATGGGTTTCAATCGAGTTGGGCACCCTGCCGCCTTCTCCCGGTGGCACAATCCTCCGCCCATCGGCCAGCACCATCTCGCCACTCTCCACCAGAGTTCGCAGTATGCAGGTGACATTCACTGGCGCCTTATCCGCCTCGTCCACCACAAGAACATGACCAGTTCGTACAGCTTGGACTAGGGCGCTGTCCTCGTACGAGACCTGGCCATCCTTTAGCGTCGCTTGCAGCGTCAGACTGTGCACCGTGGTGTCCCGATGCAGCTGGATGTACTCTCTAGGACGCTGCATCAGTTCCAGCAAGCGGTCCACAAGCTTATTCTTGCCAACGCCCTGGTTTCCAACCAAAAGAAGGTGCTCGCCGATGAGGTAGTCCTGCAGCAGACGCTCCAGCAGCTGGACATGCTGCGGCATCTCGTAGAACAAGGTGTGGGGCACCTTGGATAGCTGCGCCTGAGTAGGATTGCCCAGTGGCCAGCGTGTGGAGCCGATCCGCAGCGAATTGTCCTCCACAGCTATTTGGTTTCTCTTGCTTTTTGCCCTACTCTCTCGCGGCTTGATGCCCACCTGTTGGATGGCCTGTTCTAAGGCACCCCTCGACAGGGCCGGCATAAATCTGGCCAGGAAGGTGTTCTGCAGCATTTCGTGCACATCGCTGAGCTCACTCTCCGGATAGGCTGCCAAACGTCGGGCCAATTTCAGTAGTTGCCGGGTGGAGAGCGTGCCCGCCAGTCCCTGGAGCAGCGGATCCTGTGAAGATCTCAACAGCTGGGCCAGTTTCAGCAGTGGCTCCATGCCCGCTGGTAGGACTCCACCACACAGCTGCGCCAGCAGTTCCTCCTCCTCGCTCTGGCGCAAGGGTCGCAGTTCCTGGTAGAGAAACAGACTGAGCAGTTCGGGTGTCAGCCAGCTGGGTTGTCCGCCACCAAGACGCGGTGGTTCCGCCAAAGCCACCACGCGGAAGGACTCATGCATGGGTAGAAAACCGAGCTTAGTCAGCTCTTCCTTGGAGAATCCCTGCTGGAGCAGTGCCTGATAGCGATTTGCTCCCAGTAGAGTGGTGCCATCACACAGCTGCAGTTCACGATCGTGGATGAGGCTGGATAGCAAATATTCTATATAATATATCACATTAAAGAAGCCATTTCCAACTCACCGCTGCAAAACGCTGGCGGTGCTCTTGTGCAGGCGATGCAGTCCATTTAGAATCGCCACGGATCCTGACTTGGCAGCTCGCACCAGCGGCGAGTCCCTCCACACGGTGTCGCCTTGGGGACTCGTGATACGCTGCTGGACAATATCCCTGCTGGTCATGTCCTCGTACAGCATCATGGGCTCCGAGGTTTGCTGGAGCAGGCGGAGGAGTTCCTGTGTCAGGGTCAGCTTGCCCACACCTTTCTCGCCAACGAGGCACACATCCCCGACAGCGTAGGCTTGCAGCAGACTGGCGAGAGCTTGCCTCTGATGCGGCAAGTCCACAAAGTTGGTAGATGCCGGAGGAGTCTGACCTCCAGCCAAATTTAGCTCCAGTGCGTCCAGTTTTATGTGGATCAGGGAGTTTTCCTGGGACTGACTTTCGATTTTTTTAATGCTCGGACTGGGAACCAGTTGGATATCCAGCTTCTTGAGTAGCTCCTCGACACGCTTCTTCTGGTCGGGCTTCAGCATGGCTTGGTATGGATAAATGCGACTGATGACATCGTGCAGACTCAGCGAGGGATTAGCCTTCTGAAAAACACGAACAATTAAGCATGTTGCACGGCAGGCTAAGAGGTTCACCTACCAGCATCTGCACACCCAATGCTAGGTTGTGGATTGGAAAGTCGGGCAATTGGAGCGCCGGATCCGCCTGCTGCAGGGTCAAGGCGAATGTGAGCAGCTGCTTTAGCTGCTCGCCGGGCACAGAAGGCGCCTCCTGCTGCAGTTCCTCGTAAAGCTCGCCGTAGGAATATGTGGTCACGTTGCGGGACTGGAAGCGGGAGCGCAGCGGAGGATCCAGTGGGGTGCCCTTGTACTTGTGGGTGGGCAGACCCAAGGCCACTACCCGAAATTGTTCCGATACGCGTAGCAAGCCCCATTCGTCCAGCTGTTCCCGCGAGTGTTTCTGAAAAATGGGTAGGGATTAGCACGGATCTGGGGAGTAGGAACGTGCACACTGGTAACACACCTCTAGGAGCTTGTCGTAACGCTCCGGCGACATCAGGAACTTGCCGCTCTCCAGGTGCATCTCGCGATTCTCCAGCAGATTATTTAGTATGGGCAGCACATTGCGTTCCGCGTGCTCCACTCCATCGAGGACCAGGACCCGACCATTGAGCGCCGCTCGTACGGCTCCCTGATCGTGAAAGATGGCCGCCCTGTCGTGGATCTCACGTCGCTGCTTCAGATCGCTCTCGGTGGTGTCCCTGCTCAGGGCCACGTACTCCACCTCGCGCTGCGTCAGCTCCAGGAACTGCATGGCCAGCTGGCGGCGCAGCGGACCCGGTTGTCCCAGTAGGAACATGTCCTGGCGCAGCGCATCCTTCTGCAGCATCCAGCGCAGGTGGTGCAATGCAGATTGCGACAGCTGAAGGGTGCCATCCGGGGCGTATTTTACTATGGAATTGGATGGATACAAGAGTTAAAAGTTGGTACTAAAACATAAATACATGCATGCAAATTATAATCATTAGATGTTCCATTAAACATCTAACCCATGAATATTGTTATTCATGACTTTTTAAGCAAGGATCTTTGGGTTTGTCTCATTATAAGAATACATTATACATTATACTGATGTATGCAGATAATTCTTAAAGATGATATAATGTCATGATATAATGATGTAGTGGTTCTGCAGGCCAAGATCTTTATGTTGACCTTTGTACTAGCCAGAGATCTCGGATAGCCAGCTCCCGGCAGGGCCTTGCTCACCGTATTGCTGCGGCACCAGTTGCGGATCCTTGGGCTTGCGCAGTCGCACGCTCACATCGCCAATGGTCAGGCTGTCCTCCTCCGGCTGATCCTTTCCAGCTGTCGTGCTCATGCTCGCCCAGCTTTGTCGTGGAATTCTGGCATTCCGGAGGCTGTGATGCAACAGGTGGCCGCTGCAGGAGCGCAGATTGGCCAGCATGGCCGTCGCTGGGGGATGGGTTGGAGGGGGTCGGCTAGTCCAAGCTGAAATCGAGCCAAGTCGCCGAAAAGCGTTCTTTTCCTGCGGATTTAGTTGGATAAAACGGCGGTGCTCCGCGCGTGTTTACCGGAACAGTGCTGCCCATGGGCGACCAGCTGTTGGGCCAGTGGTGCCCATGCAGACATATTACGGTTGCAGTCCATACTAAGCGTGCACCGAAAAGCCTATCGGACAGTGTGACCGTAGCCTGAGCGTTGGTATTGTTGATACATCAAACAAAGCACGCAATCGAACAATTCATTACATTTTTGTACAATTTAACAATTAAACGTAGAACTAGCTAGTTGAAAATGACCACAGCAGCGCGTCCGACCTTCGATCCCGCCCGCGGAGGCTCCGGTCGCGGCGAAAAGGATCTGAGTGCCCTGAGCAAGCAGTACTCCAGTCGCGATTTGCCAGGCCACACGAAACTGAAATACAGGTAATGATTACAATGAATGCGCATAAGCGATGCCTGGTCTAATCCGTACTTGTGTTGCCGCAGGGAGACGGGCCAGGGCACCAGCGAGGAGATCCGCAACCGCGACTTCCGCAAGGAGCTGGAGGAGCGCGAACGGGAGGCCCGTTCTGGATCGGGAGCCAATGCGTCGTCAGGCAAGGCACTGCCCTCCATTGTGCGCAAGGCGATTGAGGCGAACAACGCCGGTGGAGGCAGCAGTGCCGCAAAGCGGGCCAAACCGGACGCAGTGCAGCAGCAAGCGTTGCAGGCACAGCAGCAGGCCGCCAATCTGGACGCCGATGAGCCGCTGGATAACGACAGCTCCGATTCGGACAGCGATTCGGATGACGATGATGCCGCCCTGCTGGCCGAGCTGCAGAAGATCAAGCAGGAGCGCCTGCAGGAGACGGCGCGTCGCGAGTCGGAGAAGAAGCAGGAGGACGAGCGCATCCGCATGGAGAACATCCTCTCCGGTAATCCGCTGATCAACTATGAGCCCGGCACTGCCGCTTCGGCAGCGGGACGTGCCTCTGGATTGGGCGGCGATCTAAAGATCAAGCGCCGCTGGGACGATGATGTGGTCTTCAAGAACTGTGCCAGATCTGCGCCCGATAAGAAGACGCACTTCGTCAACGATGCCCTGCGCTCCGATTTTCACAAAAAGTTCATGGACAAGTACATTAAGTAGGCGCATATAGGACTCGCTTTAAGTTTCAGCCGCTTTTTTTGTAATAGTTTAAGTAAACCAATTGTCAACTTTCTTTGGCCTTCCGCCCCCAAGCTGTTCATTAAAGATTCACATTTCGTAAGCAAACTCTGTTGCGGTGCGTCTATCCAAAACTCGTGATGAAATAGGGTTCATAGGCAACGTTTCTAGGTTGAATACTGAATGACTTCGTGGGTATTCAGAGAAACAATCTGACCATCTTGCGAGCGTTTTCACCTTTCGTTCTAACACTTATTTTGCACAGTCAATAATCATTTTCCTTGAACGAGAAATATAGTATAGTTTTGTAGTATATAACACCTAATTTTTGTAATTAAAAAGAACTCCAGCCATATTTTGTGATCAGTTAGAAATCCAATTGAGAAGAGGCCAATACCTCGCATGATTTAGCAATGCGTATTGAGGTCGACTTTATTTGGCAAATAGGTACTTTGGGCCATCTTCCTGCGGGCTGTGACCCAATGACTGGCGGCTGACCGCGAGTGCGAGTGCGAAGGGCAGGAACCTTAACCAAAGTGTGAAACCGCAAAAAACATCGGTAGCCGGTCGGGGGACAACAGCAGCAGCCACCGGAGGCGGCGGGCCAGGATGTCAAGGGGGGTCAGGGTCAGAAAACGGGTCAGGGTAGCGCGGGGAACGAGGGGAAGCTGCTACGTGCGCGCACGAAGAAAAGCCCAAGAAGCCCAGGAAGCCCAATCATCATGGCGATCATCGCAAGGGCAATTGTCGCTGCTGATGAGGCACGAAGCAAAATCAATTTGCCCCAAGGAGCCGGGCCAAGCAAGCGCAGAATAACTTGGTCAATTACGCCGAGCTACACTGCTCAAAATGCAGATAAGCCATCAAAAAGTAACTGTTGGGCATGTGCACAATTCGATCACTTTAATTAGATTTCAGTTAAAGGCGATATTAGCTCTTTTATATGCAAACATACATATTCTATGCTGAAAAATATCCTAAATATTTTCAAATATTTATAATTATATCATCGATCTATAAATTTGATATTATTATATTTAGTTTTTATATCTTAGACAGGCAACTCAGAAGACTGCCTCCACAAATTGTAGCCATGTATATTTCTAATTTACAAAATCCAATTCCAAGGAATTGCTTCCAGTGCAGCAGAAGCCACTGCGAATGCAAATCATCTGGAGGATCTTGATTTCCACGCCTCTTTAATACCCCGCACGCGGCCTGCGCCATCTGAAGATCTGAACTCCGACTTTGTCAATGAGCCCACGTTCCGACTGCCACTCCGCATCCGAATCAGAATCTGAATCCGAATCCGACTCCGACTCCGACTCCTATATGGATGAGTGCCCCCCTGACGCTGGCAGGGATCAGCGGCTGGTCGCGACCCCGCTCCCAAAAGTTGACGAACGCTCAATTTTACGCTAATTCGATCAGAATCAAAATCAAACAAAATTAGCCTGCCCATAGCCGGCAAAGCGATGATCATTCCGTACACTAGTGAGCAGGGCTTAGAAAAATATGCAATTAACTGAAGGAAGCGTATTTACGAGCAGGAAAGAGAGGAAACTTTTGGTAAGCTGATACAAATCAATTACACAATTATTATTGCCACATTAAAGAATTTGGTTATAATAATAAATAATTTATTTATTGTTGGCTGTATACCATGTTAATTTGCATACTCAATATTCATGATGCCCAATGCTACTCCTAGGCAGAATTAACTTAACTTTGCTGGCTAGTGCTTTGGCTTATGATTGATGATGATGATTGGCAGTATCGGAATGACGATGCCGCTAATGGTAATCATGATGATTGTTGCTATTACGCTGCCTGCTTCTGATTTTGATTCAGATTCAGATTCATACTCTGACTCCGTCTGAAGTCCGCTGTCTGGAGTTTTCAGTTTGCAGTTTGCCGTTTGCAGTTTGCAGTTTGCAGTTTTCAGTTTGCAGGTTGCAGGTTGCAGGTTGCCTGCCTCCTACGGTGGCAGTGAGGCACTGAATGCCGAGTCCCCGACTCCGAATGAGCATAATTTATTTCCTGTTTGGCATTATGCATCCCCATTATTTGTGCATTCATCAAAAGAGAGAGAGACGACGGTCCGTCGAGTTCGGAGCCAATCTGCATTCAAGCTGCCAATGCACAGCGCGAAATTGCGTAGATGCTACTATATTTCATTGCTCCATTTCATTTGGTTGGTAAAAAGTGTCACTTTGGTTGGAACACATACAAAATATAACCCTTTCCTGCTGAATTGGTATCATATTGAATCATTTGTTCTTAACATAAATAGCCAAGTATAGACTCTTTTGGCTCAGTGTGCCTCGATGTTGCTGCTGCTTTTCGGTAGTCGCCGCGCGCTAAATTGTGGCCACCGAACGAGGGGCAAGTCAAGACTGGAGCAGCCTGCTCCTCTGGCACTGGTCCACTGGCACTTCCACGTCCACTTCCACGTCCACTGCCACGTCCACTGCCATTGCCACTGCCACTGCCACTGCGACTGCCACTGCCACTGCCATGGCCTATCAATTGTCAGCAATTTCGCAACTGCATAAACTTGAAAAGAGCCAAAAAAATAAAAAGCGAAAAAAGCGAGTAACTACATACAAACCAGCGACCAACTGCATAAATATGGCGACTGGCCGACGGAAATGGCCGTCGCGGTTGCAAGTGACAAATAGCTGGGCTTAACACGGGGGCATCAATGGGTTAAGGGGGCCGGTAGTGGACGTGGGCGGCACTGAACCGGTTGACCACCGAATAAAGACCGCGAACATATGTTTCTGGCCGGCGAGAATATGGCCAACACCAAAAGGAGGCCGCCCATTTGACCCCGAAAAATTATTGGCAGTGCAATTCGATTGAACAAACTCGTTAGGCATACAAACAGTGCAATTCAAATAGGTATATGTTCTCAGGACCCTAAATACATTATATCGTTTATGTATTTAAATCAGAAAGTATCATACTCGAGAATACATGTACCTATATATAATAAATAAAGTCAAAGGGTAATTTAACGTAAGGCTTTCTACTGTAAAACATTATTGCCACAACTGCTGATCCTTGCATCCCTTAATCCTTAAATCCCTCCAAAGATATATGTATGTAGCTTTTCTTGGATGGCCATACCTTCGCTTTAAACTCAAGGGCTGTTCAGCTAATAACCCAATTGCCATCCTAACTCCGCAAAGGCATTCGATTCAATTTCCATGGCAGACAGCAGCAACATGCGCTGCACTTGCACCAACTGCAGCAGCAACATGCAACATGCAGCAACAGCAGCAACAGCAGCAACAGAGCAACACACGACCCGAGGTGGCGACACTTTATTTAGCTTTAAAATTTTATGGAATGCAAATTTCACTCAGCTGTTGCTCCTGGTGTCGATGGGTTGTCCTGGGACCTGGTCAGGATAATCCGGGGATGAGATACGGGACTGCAAGCTGCAACTGATGCTGCATAATTTAGTTGACCAATTTACACTGCAACCGTTGGCCATTGAGTGCAACCGGAAATGCAGGCACCGAAAAGCCAAAGCATTTTTGTGGCCTTTCTGTGTGTGAGTGTTGTGTTTTTATTATCATCATTTTTTGCTTTTTTTTTTTTTCCTTTCGGGCCGACCGCCTGCACTTGACATATTTACTCGCAATGGCCATTTGTAAATCGCGTCTGCCTGACGCCCAACTTTTTGTTGGGCTTAGGGTACAAAGGAGTCCAGAATCCCAGAAGCCAATCAGTACACGTTTATTTAGTGGGTATATCTTTTTGGTACGGATTAGGCAACATAATGAAAACTGTACTGCCGTAAACCATATTTAATTTAAATATGTATTATATAAATATTCGTATAGCAAATAATCGTCTTCACCCATCCAAGCCCCATTTCCTTGCCCCGCCAGCCTGCGAATCTTGTGTGGTGACCTGGAGTGGTGACCCCACCTCAACAGGGAAATGCAACAGTGCGGTAACCTCGATCGGAGAACGGATCAGGGTTTTTGCCAGCCAATGGAAATGCCCACCAAACTAACAAGATTAAAAACAAATTTTTGCTGGTTTTGTGTGGGTGCACTGCCAAAAATAAGGAACGAACAAGTGGACATTTTAACATAACTTGACTGAAAATGGTCATATGGATGCGAATATAACTGTTTTGAGCAGCTAATTACCAATGCTAACGATCCCTATCATTTTTTGAGGGATTTTGGGAAATTCATTTTTGGGTCAATTTTCGCAATTTTTATAAGGGGTAACATCGTCAAAATTTGAAAAAAATGGCAAAAAATTAGCATAACCATTTTTGAACACAGTTCGATTGGAAATTTAAGTACGAGCGCAACGAGGTATACCATTCCATATTCAGACAATTATTTTTGAAGTTGTGGCCAAAAAACTGATTATTTTATGACCGAAATTCGAAAAAACGGATTTTGGCAAAAATGAAAATATTTTTCGTGGGCATTTTAATCATAACTCGGCTAAAAATGATCATAAACATGAAAGAATAACTGTTTTGAGCAACTAATTACCAATACTAACGATCCCTATCACTTTTTGACGGATTTTGGGGAATTAAAATTTGGGCAAATTTTCGCATTTTTTGTAAGGGGTAACATCGTCAAAATTTGAAAAAAATGGCAAAAAATTAGCATTCCCATTTTTTAACACAGTTCGATTGGAAATTTAATTACGAGCGCAACGATGTATACCATTCCATGTTCAGACAATTATTTTTAAAGTTGTGTCAAAAAAACTGATTATTTTATGACCGAAATTCGAAAAAACGGATTTTGGCAAAAATTTAAATATTTTCGATGGGCATTTTAATCATAACTTTGCTAAAAATGATCATAAACATGAAAGAGTAACTGTTTTGAGCAGCTAATTACCAATACTAACGATCCCTATCACTTTTTGACGAATTTTGGGAAATTAATTTTTGGGTCAATTTTTGCATTTTTTGTAAGGGGTAACATCGTCAAAATTTGAAAAAAATGGCAAAAAATTAGCATTCCCATTTTTGAACACAGTTCGATTGGAAATTTAAGTACGAGCGCAACGAGGTATAGCATTCCATGTTCAGACAATTATTTTCATCGTTGTAGTCAAAA